AACAGAAACCACTTTGCGACAGAAACCACTTTGTAGCAGAAACCACTTTGTAACAGAAACCACTTTGTAACAGAAACCATTTTTCGACAGAAACCATTTTTTAGCAGAAACCACTTTGTAATAGAAACCATTGTGCAACAGAGAACACATTGCAACAGAAATCACTTCGCAACAGACATCACTTCGCAACAGAAACCACTTTGCAACAGAAACCGCTATGCAACAGAAACCGCTTGCAACAGACACCACTTCGCAACAGAAGTGGTGTCTGTTGCAAGCGGTTTCTGTTACATAGCGGTTTCTGTTGCAAAGTGGTTTCTGTTGCGAAGACACCACTTTTGCAACCAACACTACTTTGCAACCAACAGACATCAATTTGCAACAGACGCCAGTTTACAACAGACGCCAGTTTGCAATAGACACCACTTTGCAACAGAAACGGCTTGCAGCAGAAACCACTTTGCAGCAGACAGTACGCCGCAGCAAAAAACAGTTTCCAGCAGGCACCGCTTTTTAACAGAAACCACTTTGCAACAGAAACCACTTTGCAACTGACACCGCTCTGCAATAGGCATCACTTTGTTCTCACAGGCATTCTATTAGGCGTGTTACAGCTTTTTTCTCTGCTTAAATGCGCAAGTCGGTAATTGGAAAGTGTCTAACAAACTCTATTTTGCCGTAGAAATTTCAAACGATAATTTACGCAGGTGAATTCAGCGAAGGTTTTGAATTTTGTCCTTTCATTCAAGAAAAAACACAACCAACTTACATCTTTGACCATACCAGGCCCCGGGCCCCAGTTTTCGAAAAAATCAGTTCTCCTGCCCCTGAAGCTGGTTTCCCGACAGCACACGCTTCTTGTGCGATTTCACTGCCCCCGAAGCATTCACTGTTTGTTTCAGAAGGTAATCGATGAAATGTTTAGCATCCAAGGGTAAATCATCAATTAGGCCAAGCTGACGTATTCGTGAGTTCACTTGCAAAGAGAAGGGAAACAATTAGATGGCTCAGATAATTCGGCGCGGTTAAGATCATCGTTCTGAAAGACTCTATGCAAACTATGCAAGAAATTCTGCTTTTCTTTTGACAGTATTATCATCCCAAAAGGCGAATTTCGTGACTTCTGAGGACTTAATCCTCGAATTTTTTATCGTTTACCACCCGGTAGAATTTCCAAAGTTTGCGCGCCACATCGGGCAACTGCGCCACTTCAAAGGACACTTAGGAAAAGAAACACATCGCGTTAGGTTAGCACTTGCACTAGACTGGGAGATTAGGAGTAGATAAGCAAATCTTGAAAAGGATTTTGGTTGGTTAATAAAAACTGCAACACATAGACGAAGTTCCCCTGGCTACATATGTTTCCAGGAAAATAGTACTAACTTCCATGCGTGCCTTAGCTCTGCGTACTGGCTTGTAAAAGTTTCAAAGAGGAAATTATTAAATCGGGGATCAGAAAAGCTGGAGAGCTGGAATTTTAGGGGAATTTTTTCGTTTCGCTCACATCTTAATGATTACAAATTCAGCTCCTAGATGTTCATTTGTGGCTAGATGAAAATTTCGGTTGGAAAATGGCAAACCCTGAGCCAGAACTACCAAATCTTTTTCAAAGGATGACTGCTTGATTAAAGTAATTATTCTCCTTTACGCAAAATTCACGGTGATTTATGACAACTAATGCACGAGTTAAAAAGCAAAGCAGCAGCCATTTATGTAGTCAACAAATTGATTCTTTCAAGTGCAGCGCAAAAACGCATGATCATACCAGCAAGCCGTACCAGTCAAGGTTCAATTATTCAGATCCAATTTTGCGATGTGCAAGATGGGCAAGTACATTTATGCACTTGGTGGCTACAACACATCGGTAACAAAAACAGCGATTCGTTACGACGGCAAAACATGGGAACAAGTTTGTGATATATCGTCACCACGAAGCGCTCTTCGTGCTGTACTCCTGAAAGCCTGGCCAGATCCAGCTTATTTCTTGCGCGATCCGCCATCCAACAATGCTGGTGATCCGGCAAAACGAAGTCCAGTAAATTCACCAAAATCCAAGAAAGACAAAACTGAAGCAGGAAAATGAAACGTGGAAAATTGTATTCCTAGAAAACCCAATAATAAATCGTCACCTTTCGTTGCCAGCATTTGAACAATTTCTATACATTTTTCAAATGAATAATCAGAAACGCGTTATGTCGCAACCGTACGTCCTGATGTACATATTTGCGAGCACTGGGATGCTTCAGCTTCAGAACTGCAAGAGCCGGGAATCCGAATTTTCACATCAGCGTTAAGAGCATGCACAACAATATTTTAGTGGATGGAGATAATTTCAAAATAACAGAGTTATATAAATTCACTTCCGATCTGCTTATGAAGACATTGTCGGCTTCGTTTTAAAAAGCATTGTTAGGTGCCTTTCAAGTTCGCATCTTCATGAACGCTCCTGAATTTATTATGTACTTCTAAAAAGACCCAGTAAAATTCGCCAGGCTCTGGCCTCAACTGCTTCTTATCCTAATCAAGAAGGCCCAATGCATTTCTCTCAGCAGAACCATTTTTTCGAATTTTAGCGCTAAATTTGCAAAGCGGAAGCGAAAGTAAGGTCTTAGCTCTAGAATTTCGTTACCTTCCGTTCCTTTGCCGCGCAGAGATGATAGGGGAATTGGGTGATGAGACTGTTCCCCTTCTCAACACCTTATCGATTAAAATAAGCGCAAATCAAGAAAAGGAAATCCTAAAAAACAAACAGTTCATTGTTACCGCACTTTAGCAATACTTCCGAAGTAATATTGTGTCAAAATCCGTCTGTTGCCTTTTGCTGTGTCACTTCATCGGTTTTCCTTGAAAAGCTTTCATAGCCTTTATCTTCAAACACCCGAATGTTACAAAGACTTCTCACCAAACCACAATGATTCTCAACTGATGAACTGGTTAACATTTAAATTATCGGCTAACATCCAAAATGTCAAAATGAAAGTCTAGCAGTTCAGTCTTATGGCTTGTAATTGTTTTGAAAATATCTCTGGATCTGATCGATTATAGCCGTCGAAAAAGTGCAGATCCTGTAAACTTCGCAGATTGTTTTTTAAAGTGTCATTGTTTTGTATATGGTACTAAATATAACTGTGCTTCTAAATTACGGCTCTCCGCTTCGCTGACAACCGCTAGAGGGAGTAGCTCATTCTTAAAACAAAAAGTATGGGCTTGATTCCCGAAGATTTTAGGTAATTTTTCTTTTGTTGTTTGGTGGCAAAATTATACCAATTCCTCTAACTCTTCCTGCTTGTTCATTTGTAGTTCACAGATGCCCAGTTTGTAGCTTTGCTTTAAATTTATTTTCTTTACGGATTCGAAGTCAAAAGACAGGACATAAACAAAATTCACCTCGTGCCAAGTCGGGAGGAAGCTCCGGAATAACAACGATTTTCTGGCTTTGCGAATAAGCTACCTCAGGAGTCAGAAGCCAAACATGCGTTGCAAAAGGAAACTGACCAGCGGGGAATGGTCAGTCGCATGGGTCGTGTCATTTTATTCCAGTAACTCTGACAGTCTCATGTTTTGTACGCTTTGAATAAAAGTTAACGGTAACGGGGTCAATTGCTAACGCAGATGTTTTATTACCATTAAGCGGACACAACAGTACGAATTATCATCACAGATTCTAAATATTCTTGATACTGTGGCTTGTCAGCGACGATCCATTGCGTCTGATTACGCATTTTTCACAGGTAACAATCCTCTTCCCCATGATCCACCTTGTCCTCCGTACGGTGGTCTCCACGTACCGCCGCTACTGCCGCCACCACCACCAGATGGTCCCCACGGATTACCTGGGCCGCCGCCACCACCACCACCACCGCTGCCGCCGCCGCCACCGCCACCGCCACCATATGGTCCCCACATTCCGCCGCCACCTCCATATGGTCCCCACATACTAACTAAGCCACCACTGCCGCCGCTGCCCCCGCCACCGCCACCGCCTCCATATGGTCCTCCCATCCCGCCGCCGCCACCGTATGGTGCTCTCCACATTCCACGACCGCCGCTACTAGGCCCCCACATTCCGCTGCCACCAGGTTGACCAGGTTGTCCCCCTATACCTCCGCCGCCGCCACCACCACCACCACCGGCGCGTGGTCCCCATACTCCGTTGCCCCACCAACGTTTCACTCGAGCTCTGGAAAAATGTTCAAGAAAATCTATTGTAATCTCAGTCGACCTATATTCGAGTTAAAATTTCAGGATAAATCTGTTTGCACTGAATTGCAATAGGTTCTCGCAAATTTACCACATTCAACGGTAACTTAAATCCATTCAATTTTTAAGCGTTCTTGCTGTGTGGCGCTATAACTGAGCCACCGCTGCAACGCTGCTACAGTTAGCAAAAACGCATATTGTCGAGAAGCTGTCTGTGTGTGTGTGTGTGTTAGGAAAGCGGGTGCATTTTGTCATCCACTTTCATCTCAGCAACCAGGAAA